GGTCACAGATGACAATAGAACCAAGAAGCGTAGCTACAAAAATCTTGTTCAACGACGTCGCTTATCGCGCAGCGGGAAATATGCATAGGTTCTTCGTCGTCTCTGGGACATTGGAGTGAAGATAGAGCGACTGGAAGAGGAATTGATACGAATATCAGAGCCGGAGTCTTTGGTTCATGAGGACTCTTCTCTCGGCTCGCCCTAAAAAGCTAAGGGAGTCTATTTCCCGTTTTTGGAATGCGAGGATACTGGGGATCAAGGTTTTTGGAATGGTGAGCATTATAATCAGTTCAGAAACATTTTATCTTTGTGGAGATTGTTTCATCTTGTGTGCCTCACTTGTTGATGATTGTACGCAACGGAAGGTATACAACTTCTTTGTCAGTGAATATAAACATCATCTCTTGTTCTGTTGATCCCATTTTGTTTTTGGTTCTCTATTTTAAGTTTTGATAAATTACTCAAATTAGTACGTTTGAGCAAGTTTCTTCACTTGTATACATAGTCATTTCCACCTAGTTCTGAGCTGTTACATTATTTAGCATCTTGCAGGATGGATACGAGGTGCCATCTACTCTTTCTGTTTCTGCTGCTGATTGCTTGTTGTCAATTACTGGAGCCTTAGCCAAGAGGGATGATACTGTGGCAAATAGACCGAATCAATCAACCATTACGGGGTCTCATCAACCGGTTGCTTTGATTCCTAATACTATACTAGTGAGAAGAAAAAAAAAGAAGACTTCTCGATCTGAAGACTCAAACAGTGAGACAAGTTGTATACTATGGAACCATTTGGAGGATCTGACGCGCCTTGTCCAATGTCTCTTTGCTGTACGTCTACTGATCCATTAAAATATGCTTGATCTATGTACTACATTATGAAGTGATGAAGCTATCCATGATTTGAGTCGAGTTGTATTGACAAAATTTTCTTTCCAGTTCGACTACTGCATGCTAAGGGGTTAGATAAAGTGCCGAAGTGGTTAGAGGAGTTAAAAGAGCATCATAGTGGCTCCCAAAAGGAGGCAGGTCTTTGACTGATGCCGCCTGTCCTCGTTCTTTCCCATTTCTGTTTCTGATTCTTGCATATCAATTTTTTTTTGTTTAATACCTGGAATTCAGGCACGGAGATATCTAGTGGTGGAGCTCTACTATTCTCTTCTTGTTGGAAGCATTACAGTGTTTTGCTCCACATGGAAGATCAGAATTTCTCAAAGATTAGTAATGAATTGCTGGAGCAATATTTGTCTGGTATTAAGGTTAGACATAACCGACAATCTTTTTGGTTTCAAAATTTTGTGATAGGGATAAATATTCCATACAGTAACATTGTTCTACCACTGGGATTCTATAGTGTCCGTATCTGAATCTACTCCATATGTTTAGGTTCTCTGACCCGTTTTTGTCTAAAGAGTAAGCAGATTTTCTGTCATTGCCATGTACAGTTTTAATTCTTTGTTAAGATGATATAAATGTGCAAAGTAACATATAGTAGATTCTGCTTGAAATCGATTGGATTGTGTTTGCATGGTATATGAATGAGATTAGTTTGTAAAAAGCTAATATTGTGTAGACCTGGTCTTAAAGATAAGCAACTAAAAAAGTCTAAACTTGCGCTTGTTATTCAACAGGCGCTATTTCCAATTGTTTTCTTGCAACTTGAAAAGGCCGCAGAGCTGCAGGACAGCCTCAAGATTAAAGCTTGCCTGTTCTCTATATGCACATCCCTTATGGTAATATTTTCATTGTTCGTGTTCTGTATGAACATATTCATAGACAATATATCAACTCTAGCGCTTCTGGACCGTAGTGTGTGGCCCAACCCAAGAAACAAAGTCAGATAAGAAAAATAAATCGGATCATACTTTGAACTTTGAAGCATGTTTTTGGGCTTATGGCCCAAAAGTAAATTATCTTATTGACTATATAAAACAGGAGGTACGAGTAGGGAATGGAACACAGATTCGCTTTTTATTTATTTATTTCTGGA